TGACACGCTGAAAACCAGCCTTGATTCTAGAATCCAGCTCTTCCTCGGAGAGCTCGTTCAATGACATGATGGAGCCCCGGCTATGAAGAGCCACCAAGCCCTTGTTGAAGGTTTCAAGCGAGCGCATTCACCTATGCACCCTAGCCTGCACCCCCTGCCAAGCCAAGCTGGCGATCTGTAGTGGGACTAGCTGAGCAAAGCGCACCATCGGTCAACCATGCGAAGAAATTACGCGCTGCATATATATGCAGGTCAAGCATTGCAAGCTTATTTGGAACCGGCTTGCAAGTCTGTGAAAAAAGCCGTAGGCAGGCTCTCAGATCCGAATTTCCATGAGTTTTCAGGATTTCCACGAGTGCTCCACAATCAAAAGTCATGGATTTTAATTTGCGCGAGAGTTGCGGGGATTTGCGCGCGAGTTGCGGATATTTGCGGGAGAGTTGCGGCCTGGCATTTTCTGGGGACGAACATGAAAACCAAAAAACACGCGTTTCGTGAAAAAACACGCCCTAGGCCCCTATAGGCTAAAAAGGGTCTGGGAGGAGCCTTTCCTTTTCTACTTAGTCTGACCAGAACTGTTGGGCAGGAGTGGGGCCTCTGGTAATTGGATCTCGAGAGCCTACCTTCCTTTCAGGAGCCTGGGGTCCTCGGAGATTAGGCATGGCCACGCACCAACAAATTGCAAGCAATCATGAGGTTCCGGTCAGTAGAGCATTGTATTCATCTCGAAGGTCTTGGCGCACATTCACCTCATGTGATCACTCTTGAATTTGGGCACATATGGTAGAATAGATTTGAACAGATGAAGTGAGTGCAGATGAAGTGCTCTGGATGACAGTGCAGAATCAAAATCAGCCATCGTCTGTGTCCACGATTCAGGGATATGAAGATGCCTGTTCTCCCGCGCATAAAAATATGTCTTTGCCAGGTTGGCATCACTCCAGCAATCACCCAGCTCCAAATCCGCAAACAACTCACGATCTGTTTTGCCAGGATCAACGAAGTTCTTGTGCCGGAGATCTTTCCGCTGATGCAGCATCTCGGTCTCGTAAAAGGCCCAATAGAGTTGCTTGCAGAATCTCATGGGATACACCCTTAGATATAGTCCAAGAATGCTGATAAAGATGAACCTGCTTGAATCCACTTACCCAATAATGCCATGCGTATTGTGTAACTGCATGTAGCTATAGAAAATGCTTTGCCAAGGGTCCCTGATTCCTTCAGCTGCGCGGAGCCCGCAAACCTCCGTATCCCTTGCTCGTTAGAGTATGTGCCTCAGAGGAAGAGCATAACCCCACGCATTCCTAGGAACTGACAGGCTTGCTTGCTGTACAGGTCAGCGCAAGAGCAGCAAAACATATAGCCAAGGTACGTGAAGTCCGAATCTCGGTAAGTTGCTCTCGCACAGATTTGCTTAAGATGCCAGCATCCAATCTTTTGATCAATGGTGAGTTCGAAAACAGAGAAGTTCTCTTTGGGGACTTCGATCCCCATAGGAGCATCCACAGATTTTGGCGGTACACCTTGATTGACTGCACAGGGAACTATATTTTCATGTTATGCGTGTTTCAGGGCATCGTGCAACCAGGGCTCATACAGCACAGAATTGCAAAGCCACTCGAAACGAAAATGTCGTGTGATGAGTGAGCACACTGGGTGCTCCAGCACCCAAACCGTGTTCTGCGCGGTCATGACCAGAATGCAAAGCATGGTTCTTAGTTTGTGAACGAGGACATGCTGCTACGAAGCATAGTATCCAGCACAGTTCTTCAAGGCTTTGGTTACACTTGCATGGAATGTTGAGAGTGTGCTATTGCAGGAATAGCACGGATTAGATCAGGCAAGGCTCCTTGAAATCATACAGTTTGCATCTCTGATATAGGGAAGATGCTGCGCTCCCTGCCAGTTAAGAAAGTCACGTCGACTCGTACCGCGGTTTGGCA